CGCCAGAAGTGAAAAGCACCCATATCCTCCTTCCGACAACTAGCGATAATAAAGATGCGGATGCTGACGAGGATGATGATGATGCAAAACAAGAACATGAAAACAAGACAAAAAGACGAAAAGAACATAAAACAATCAATTTGTTGCACAAACACAGTCAATGGCAACTCCCATTTGTGTTGGCTTTCAGCAACCGAATTTATGGCGGACTTTTATAGTTACATCTAAATTGACTTTTAAATTGTAAATTTATCATAACAAAACTACAGCAGTACCACCACTGCCAGCTATGGGCTGTGGATGAGTCCAACAACAACACTTGGTGGACATGCCGCAATAACAACAACAGCAGCAACAGTCCAACAGCCATAATTCATCTTTGTTTTACATTCGAAATTTGTTCAAATTGACAGATTTTTAATTAAATTCGAAATCAATATATCAATGTTTGGAGCCGATGTGCCCAAACGAGTCCGACGAGGCCGACAAGACCGATGCCACAGCTAACTGTTACTCTCCACACTTGCTGTTGTCGAACGCGTTACGCGAGATCATTTAGAGGCCACTACGCCCATTGCACAGATTTAGATGTTGATCATTAAATGAAGGAATGACTTGTTGAAAAGCGGATAGCAAATGGAAATGATTTTCAAAACAAAAAATAATAAACTTATTACAACCACAACGATAAGCATATGACAACTTATCTTCAATGGAATCGAATTGTACCAATTAAAAATTCCAAACTACAGACACACTACTAGTCTTGGAAAATGGCTGCCTTATTTGGTAGTCTTGTTGCCAATAAGAGAATATCGGAACTATAGTAAAAAAATGTCTTTTCGAACTGTCGATTTTGGAATGAAGATCAGTCAGAAGCATTGCATACAGAAAAAGTCACAGTGTGGTAGGGTTTATGAGCTGGTGGCACCATTGGACCGTACCGACGCTGTAAATCCTAACGTAACTGTGAATAGTAAGCGATACGGTGGGATAATGTTCCCCTTTTTTGTTCAAAATGCAAGAGCTTGACTTGCATGACATGTAGTTATGAACCCTGTACACAGGGTTTCCAAGGGACCATTTCTCCCTTTCCTGGGGATAAAAATCGAGTGTACAATCTACTCGTGTTGAAATGTGATAAGATAATTATTGAATATAGGATGGCGAATGGACTTCGGAGGTGCTCGGATATTCAAGTATACGATTCAGTTGATGGTCAGAAATTTGAGTAAAGGCTAGAAGGTGAACGACTCGTGGACAATCGGGAACTATGATGACGGCTACTCGGAGGTGGGCATTATAGGGAATTACAATGCTTGTGTACGGCGTTCAGGGTTATGATGATTTGCAGGTTATTGGGAACATCGTCGGTTGTCGACGGGTTGAATGTTACCAGGGAAAACGAGATTGAGAGATCAGGAATTATGATGCTTGGGTTCATCGTTCGGAATTGTGGATGGAATTGACGATTTGAAAGTGATTGGGAACATCGTCGGTTGTCGACGGGTTGAATGTTACCAGGGAAAACGAGATTGATGCTCTTTGTGATGTCGGGGTTTGGGTTTGGATACTTGGACTTATTGAGATTCGTTCCGGTTTGGCAGCTCACTGAATGAAAGGAGGTTCGGCAGCCAATGAGAATGACAAAAAAGTGACATGTCAAATTCCACGCAAACCGTCATCCATCACGAATTTCGTAAGTATCCGAAATTTGCCAAGTTTAAGAACAAATTTTTAACTTATATCGACCAAAATTAAATCGTGCGGAATCTTCCGAGTTTTCCACTAAGATTTTTTCTTAATTTCCATTCAAAAAGCCATTCCGTAACAGTTCCACACAAAATTCAACGTCAAACGAGTTAAAACGCGTTAAGTTCGTCCAAACTTTTAATACCCCACCACCATTATAAAATTGAAATAATCAGGATTGAATAATGGGTCCACTTTCATTTTTGGCGGTGAAATCGAAAGTCTTCAAAATGCCGTAAAGTCAATGCTAAAATGGTTGTTAACTGTGTGTCAAATACGAAATAAGAAAAGTCAATGTAAAAGGTATCAGTCTATTTTCCCGGCAGACATATACCCTCAGCTATGCCTGTTTATTAAAATATATTTTAACTTACTTATGCAAAATTTGGAGAAAATCGGATATACAGGATGAGATAAAAAAACTGCAACAAAGTCAAACGCCATAATTTTTACATTTTTATACCCTCCACCATAGTATGGAGGGTATATAAGTTTGTCATTCCGTTTGTAATACCTCGAAATATACATTTTAGACCCCACAAAGTGCATAAATTCTTGATCAGCATAAAATAAAAAGCACAATAAAAAGCATAATCTATCCGTCTGTGGAAATCACCCACGCTTCCGAACGAAATGAAGAAGATTGATAAAATTTTACTCAAATGTATATTATGTCTGCTGGGCTTTTGGTATTGAAAATGAGCCATGTAAGTCGACGTTTTGGTATAGCCCCTATAAAACGGTACGTGCCGATATTCGGTATTTTGATGATTTTAACGACATTATTCACCGGAATCGTTTCAAATTTGGCATTTGAAGTTCGTAATTATTACTACAGCCTATGACAGAAAGGTATCTGTGCAGGTTCACATTTTGGTATAGCCCCCATATAATAGTACCTGCCTATATTGATGATTTTAGCTACATTATTCACCGATTTTTTTTAGTTTCGTCGTCGTTTAGACCCTAATATGACGGCTACATTTGGTACTTTTAAGATTTCAACAGAATTTTTAACGGATTTTATTTCTTTAAAAATTGCCAAACTCTTTCTAAATGGTGGAGGGTATTCAAAGTTCGGCCCGGCCGAACTTACATCTTTGTTACTTGTATTTTTTTAATTTTATTGAATGAAAGCAAAAAATGTCGCAAATAGTATCAAATTTTAGAATAAGTTTAGATTTGTTCGAATTAATCACCTTTGGCACGAATTATGGCCCCCAAATTGCCAATGAAACAACACACGCTGCCCGAATGGTGCTCTTGCTTGATGAAGCAAGGAACCTCAATTTGTAACCATTCTAGGGTGGCGCGTGCTAAGTGCGATGGTGCTGAGTCCTGTTGGAATGTCCAAGGTCTGCGGCCAAAATGTTTGCGTGCCCAAGGCTTTAATACACCCTCGAGAATATTTTCGAGATAATATTCGGCATTTATTTTGATGCCAGGTCGATTAATACGAGCGGAGAGCAACTTTCGGCTGTTATGGCGGCCCACACCATCACCATGGCCTCGCTTGAGTTCTGGTAGCCAACCGAAGATGCACATTATCAGCTGACCTCGTTGGCAAGTAAACACGATCATTTTGTTTGTTTACAAACTACTGGACAACGAATGTTTTCTCATCGGAAAAAACCAAATTCGGCAGTTCGGAGACGGAGGCAGGATTCGAGTGCGACTATGGCATCCCTTTATGAAATGTCACAAAATATGCCACGCGCAAACTTCAAGCTGCTTAGTAACCACACCCATGGTACAATATGGAGCTTCTTAAAACTTAAAACAGAAGTACAGCCCTGAGGCTATGTCCGCTTAATGTCACAAAAAATTACATGGCAGAAGAATCCAGGTAGATGCATCAACGCTTGGGAGCATTGATATGTCAAAAAAAATTTAAATGTTTTTACAAATAGAAGTAGATTTTTATATGTTTTCTTATACTACGTCATTCGGAGGCTATTATAATTTGCGTTTTTCAACAATTTTTACAAATTTAAATAATTTTTCATTCAAAAATTTCAATTCCAAACTTGGTTTGACAGTTCATTGTCCCTGCAGCTGTGTCGACGCGTCTACCTTTATTCTTCTACCATGGAAAATTATATGCAACAAGTTATTTTCATTTATTTGATATTTTGCCTTATTTTTAAAACGAGTTAAATATCGCGAAAGATGAATAAAATACTTGGATTTTCTTTGAAAAATAAAACACAAAATTGGCAGAAATCGGCACACTCGGAAAAATGTTGTACCCAGCTGGTAGCTCTACCTTACCTCTTTATTGTACAATGCCCACACCTTTATATTGTTGCCGGTGTTGAGCTGAGACTGGTCCCATAAAAATTCAACACATTTATGATACATTTGACAATGGTACAATGATGACAATATAGGCTAATTTTGAAGATATTGTATAGTATATCGTATAGCTGTCTACCGTTTTGGCTTTTTATGTCCGAATTGCTATCAAAACAATGAAAAAATCAAACAACTTAGTGCATTGATTTTGAATAAATAATTGAAAACCGCGAAAACTAAATGAAAGGACTAAATTTCTTTTCAAAATCATATTCTATATAACTCTAAATGTAGATTTTTTCGATGTATACGTTGCAATAAGCATTTGGAAAACATCCGAATTTGAATATTTTCTGAACAATTTTGATATTATTAAACAGAATACACACACATAAACAAATAATGTTGACATATTATGCCAAGAAAATAAAAAAATTAAAATCATATGGTATCATAGTCCTAGCTTGATTTTATTGGTCCCTGCATTTGACCTAGTTCCTTTGAAGAAAAATATAACTCTTAATCGGGGCAATCTGTCTAGTGTAAACGTCGGGTTAGCCAACATTTGGCACATGGTAGAAGAATATAGGTAGACGCGTCGACACAGCTGCTGGGACAATGAACTGTCAAACCAATTTTGGAATTGAAAATGTTGAATGAAAGATTACTTAAATTTGTAAAAATTGTTGAAAAATGCGAATAATAATAGACTCCGACTGTAGTAGTATAAGAAAACATATAAAAATCTACTTATATTTAAAGAAACATTTAAATTTTTTTTGACATATTAATGCTCTCAAGCGTTGATACATTCTTCTGCCATGATTTGGCATCAGCTGGTTTTTGCTACATTTAGTCGCCGAGTGCATACGTAACGCAAAGCAATACACAACGCCACTGAGCTTTCAATAATCGACTGCAAAGCTTTAAAGCTTCTTGCTGTCATCATTTCCACGAAGTATCGACAATGGTGGTTGTTTTATAAGGCCTATTACATATACGTAACGGTATATTCTATGGTGTTTGTGCGTCCGTGTGTGTGTGCATTCTATTATTCACGTGCAGTTGGCCACTTTGTACGCAAAAACCAGGAAGGTAAGACCAAGCAAAAGTATAATTCGCCGATTTATCGATTTAACAACGACACCTTCATTGCATCAGGGGGGTTTGTCTTCGCATTACCCCACAAGGGACGTTATTAAGTAATTTTCGTGAAAGGAAACGAAAACCACAAAAGTTTACGAAAGCAAAAATGTTACTGCCGCAACAAACTCAGCCAGGATGTTTGGAACGTTTGGTGAATATCCTAAAGTCTCCAATTCGACCGAAACACATTCGCCTTTCGGCCGTGCTAATTTGCATTAATCAATTTGTAAGTGTTTGGATCCTTGAGTTTTACTCGTATGCGGATTTCTGTGATTGACCCTCAATTTCAGTTCATTGCCATCATCCTGCTGTTCATTGTCATCCTGGCCTACATCCATATCGAGGAGGCCAATTCCAGGGCCATTGCCGACATGGAAGACCAGCGGGACAATGCCTACTACAGCTTGTCCGACCTGATTTTGAATCGTCTCCGTTTCCATTTGGCCAGCGACGTTACCATGACGTCACGCGTTCTGGCTTCCATTCTCGTTTGCTGCTCCTCGGTGTATCTGCTGAGTGCTGTTGGACTTCTGATTGGCATCTACAAGAGTCGCGAGGAATTCGTGCTGTTGTGGTTGGTGTTACAGTTCTTCTTCTTTGTGGCAGGATGTGTTTTTACGTTTTGGGTATCGGGCTCTGAATTTGTCGAACACACCATTGGAAAGGTCTGTTTCTGTAAGTTGTTCCCTTTGGCGAAGGCTACTAAACAAACGTCATTTCCGATTGCTAATATTCGTTTTGTTTTGTTTCTTTTGGAGTTTAGTCTTGATGTCGGCCGCTGTACTCTTGAGTGATGCCTCCATGTGGTACATCATTTACAATTACTACCACAGCATACGGCTAATGAATAAACTACGGGAGATAGCGACTGTGGCCATACCATGTCCTCCACCCGGATCTGTAAGTATTTCGTTGTGGTCAACCCTGTAAAGGTACTGTGAGCCTCTACTCCCTCTTCTTGTATCCAGGTGCCGTTCCATTTCCGTCGCGAAAATATGTATTTGGGCAGCAATGGCTACAAGCACATTCTGTCCGATGCCCCCGATGGCAATTATTGATTCGTGCCTGTGTGCCACGAAACCCCCCAGCTGTAAATTACGACATGACTAAGATTAATTTCAATTAACATTGAGGGCACAGTGTTTGTTAATTTGAGAGGGTTGCCAACGTTGTGCAAATCGATGCGATGCGAGCGTACTCAAATTGGCAGTTCTAACGAATGGCAACGAATTGTATCCGGAAATTGAAATATGGTGTGATATTTGAATTAAGTCAACTTAAAGATATTACCTTTAGTTAGTTATAGTTGATTGTAAGCGAGTATATAACAACTACAGAACACACATACACACACACGTATATATAACAACAATGTACCCACACACAGCCAGGCATGTTATCCTGATGTCTGAGTATCCCCCCCCCCCCCACACACACACACCCAACAGAAGAACTCTGTTTGAAACCAACAAAGTCAGAAGCAAAGTCCCCTTTGCTTCCTTTGAACGCCGACGATCCAGTAGAATTGTAGCGAACGCACTTGATGACACAGAGATGTACATCCAAATGCGATTGGACTACAAAACAAAATATCAGAAAAATATACAATATATCTAATTATACCAATTATTCTACTACTCTTAATAAAATCTAAGCAAATACATATGATTGGGTATCATTGCGAGGATAGATTACTTTTTATGACGTAAAAGGTTATCTCAATACTATGCATTAATTGATATTTTACGGCAACTATTATTATGGGTGAAACTAGCTACGTAAAACACAAAAATATTTGTTATACAAATATAATTTTGTTCTACATAACACAGGGAGATTTTGTTTCTAAAGCTCTTCAAACAAAATTGGTGAAATATTAATTTTTTGACTCTTTAAGAAATCTGACGATTTTTTGGTCTGTTCCAGAAATACAAGAATGTAAAAGTTTTCACAACGATAACCGATTTCTCTTTATGATATTGAAGAAAATTGCAAAGTTATTGGATTTTTCCAGATACATGAAAAGAGCATTGTACAATAATAAGAGGTAGAATCAAGCTATATTATAAGGGACCTACTACCTACCTACACGAAGAACCGTACAAAAAATCTCACTTTTATCAGTATGGTAATATATTTCGAAGAGGCCGGCTATTATTTTTTATACCCCATATGGCTACAGAGGATGTATATCATTTGATACGGCCAAAACGTGCCCCACCGAAATAACAGGTTTAGACAATAAGTCCGAATCGAAATATTTCTACTAACGAAAGATTTGCTGTGAAGATGGGATTATCGGCTCACTGCTTCTGATACCTCACTCACAAAGGCGTAAAAATTGTGAATATTTATATCTTTCATAAAATGCGAAATAAGCATCTGATTCCTTCTGAACATCGCACATTCCAATATTTATACTACCAAAAGATCTGGTGTGAAGATGATAGATATCGGCCCTCCCGCTTTGTACCTTCCCACAAAATGTCACAATTTTTAAAACTTATACCTCTCATAGCAAGTCAACGGTTCTTTCCAAACTTAATATGTCATAATATTTTTTCAACGAGAGATCTGATGTAAATGTGATACCTTCCCACAAAGTTAAACTAACTTCAGACTGCTGTCATTTCTGAGCCACTCGTCCGACAGCTGTTAACATTATTCCAGTGACAGCTCATTATATTGTTTACAAGCATACAAAAGCATTTTAGTGAGAATTTTCCAGAAAAAAAGTTATTCGTCATGGAGCGTAGTGTAGCCCGACGTAGGAAGTGGACAGAGGACAGAAGAAAACAGCAACATCAGCAGAAATGGTTCGAAGTAAAGAAGCAACTTGATCGAAACCAGCGTCCCAGTGGCCGAAAAATGGCTCGTGAGATGAACATATCGCAATATTCCATTCGGCAAATATTGAAAAATGAGTTCCGGGTAAAGCCATTGAAATTCTAAAAAGTGCAAGAACTTACACCGCAACAGAAAGAAAATAGACTCAAAGGAGCTAAAGAGTTGCTTCGCTTGGCCGAAAGTGGTGAACTGCCGAATTTGGTTTTCTCCGATGAGAAAACATTGGTTGTCCAGTAGTTTGTAAACAAACAAAATTATCGTGTTTATTTCCCAAAGAGGTCAGCTGAAAATGTATAACAGCCGATGATCGCTCTCCGCTCGTATTAATCGACCGTGGCATCAAAATAAATGCCGAATATTATCGCGAAAATATTCTGGAGGGTGTATTAAAGTCTTGGGTAGGCAAACATTTTGGCCACCAAAATCTCCGGATACTAATCCGTTGGACTATTGCGTGTGACGGTTTCATTGGCCGTTTGAAGGCCATAATTCGTGCCAAAGATGACCAATTCGAACAAATCTAAAGTTATTCTAAAATTTGATGCTATTTCCGACATTTGCTTTCATTCAATAAAATTTAAAAAAAATGTAAAAATTTTGGAGTTTGACTTTGTTGCACTTTTTTATCTCACCCTGTAACTGTGTGCCTTTCTTTAAATTTTGCACATGCAAATATTTTCTTCAGTATTAGATGATGAAGTGGTATACTTCGAACTGCCTCAAGCATATGGCAACATTTACAAGAATTTTACAAATATGATACGTTTGTCGTCAAAACCGAATGATACTTTTAAACTAGTTTTTATATTCAATAAAAAAGTAAGTAAGGTAGAATTGCTTCGTACAACTACAAAACAATAAATACATGCACAAATAGTCTGTCCCAGAACCTACAATTTTTTTCGATATCATAAGGGGAAAATCAATTATCGTTGAATGAGAAGAGAAAACCAACCGAACGGTTAGGCTGTTGATTCAATTCTAGTTTTATTTCAAAAATATTTTCCTTACGTACTACTGAAACTAATCTAACTTAACCTAGTCGCAGCCACACAATTGTTCTTATCTATTCTAATATTGAATGGAGAACATGGCAGGGCTGCTTTACATTTCATTCAAGTGATCTTGTGCATCTACTGAGCGCATCGATATCTGTGCGTGTGGGTCATAACCTTTATTATCTGACACATTATCGTATGCGTCAGCGCACAAGATCACCGAATTGTTCACATGTGGTATTTTATGGCGGCTGGGAAATATGTAATTTTTGAATATTGATTGTTTATTGCTAGTTTTTCCCAGCGCCTCAACCGCACTCAAAAGTATGTACAAAGTATTTTGTACATTCTCCCGGGCGGCTTAAATGCGTATATTTTAGTGGACTGTATTAGAAATTAAATGGGTGTAGAACAGGACTGTATAAAAAATATTTAGATTTAAAACTAATTATACTATACTATATAAATTATCCTAGGTGACCGCTTGCAGGAAACGGCTCCACTTTCCTATCCAGCCTCTCTTGCCGATACCACCACCTTTATCTGCCGGCTTCATTTTCCATACTACCGAATTAATAGTCCATCGATGCAGACCGCCATCATTCACGTCGGAAAGGATTACCATTGGCTCCATGGTACGCTCTGCTTTGTCGTCTTCCTTTCTTAAGGTTATTGGTGGTTTGTGGTGGTGGTAATACACTTCCGGAACCAGAGACATTTCTTTGGCTTTTTCTACTTCATCGATGCATTCTTTTCCTGCTAATTTACCACATTCGTCGACACTTTTTGAACCTTCTGTGCGTGGCGACTTTTCTTCTTTTTCCTCTTCTGCAATAAGACTATTTATTACTTCTCTTACAAAACGGTCGTCCTCATTGCATCGATTGGTTTTTACTAAATTGAGAGGTTCCTTCCGAAATGGTTTTCTATATGTCAGCGCTGACACGACACCAGAACGTTTTTCTTCTTCCCGTTCCTCAAAATGAGGACTTGCCGGCGGGAAGCACTTCACAATATTTCCTTCTAAACATCGAATCTGTTTTAGATTAACAGCATTATCTCCCTTTCTTACACTTGCTAGTTGCTTGGACAGGTCATCTTTCTCAGCATCCAAGACTCGTCGCGCTCTTTCCGAGCTAGCCAATTTTTCATTGACTTTCTTTAACTTCGTTTTTAGATGTCGCACTTGATCATTCTGAACTCGATGTTTTTCTTCGAATTGTTCATCTTTGGCCCGCAGGTTTTCTTCAGATTTGGCGAGCAGATAATTTTCGCGGGCCTTCGCATTTCTCAATATCGTTTCACTTTTTTCCATTTCGATTATTATTTGAGAACGCAATTCGATTGCTTGTCCCTGCAGAGATTGTAAATTATTTTCATAGGCTTGCATTTGTTCGTGCCAAACCATCTTCCAATTCTCTGTCGTAATCTTCCTTTGTTTCGACATAGTTAAGTTGTCTGTTTTCTTCCTCTTGCTCTTCCCAAGTTAAATGGTCATAGTATCCATCGTGATGGAGGTTTCATCGAATCATCGATTTCTTCATCGATGTCCAAGTCTGTGTAATTGCGACTCCGGGTTGCTAAAAGCTTCATTGCCGATAACATACACATATCCACATCACAGGGTAATGTCTTCATATGGGTTGGAAGGTATTCTGGGTGTACCCTCAAGTACCGTCTTAACTGGTAAAATGTATTTTCTACCAGTACCTTCCAAGCCGCGACGTGTTTCACCTTTTCAAAGGCTGACGTCGACGTTAACAACCGGAAATAGTCTGCCAAAGTGGTGATATCTTCTTCCACTTTTTTATTCATTTTTAATTTAAATGTTTTAGATGGGACTATTTGTCCTCTTTTCAAAACTTTTTTATAGTGCCTTCTTGGCTTTTTTCGATTTTTTGATTTTTTCAGTTGGGACTTTGATGTCCTCTTTTCCAAAATTGTATATTTTTATGTGGGACTGTTGTTGTCCTCTTTTTGTTATGTTTTTTTTTTAGTTTGCCCCGTGGGTCTTCTTTTTATATTTTTAAATTTTGCCTTTATGGCTCTTTATAATTTTATCCCTCAACGGATTTTTATTTGTAGCTATTCTCCTCTTTTTTGAAGAACAGCTACTTCTGCTTGTAGTGAGTCTCTTACCACTGGTGGGGGAAAACTCCTACTATTTTCTTTTTGTGGTCGCTAATTCGTTTCACTTTGACAAAAGTGAAGGCTCGATTGACCAATGAATGAGAAAAGAAAACCAACCGAACGGTTTGGCTGTTGATTCAATTCTAGTTTTATTTTAAAAATATTTTCCTTACGTACTACTGAAACTAATCTAACTTAACCTAGTCGCAGCCACACAATTGTTCTTATCAATTCTAATATTGAATGGAGAACATTGCAGGGCTGCTTTACATTTCATTATCTGACACATTATCGTATGCGTCAGCACACAAGATCACCGAATTGTTCACATGTGGTATTTTATGGCCGCTGGGAAATATGTAATTTTTGAATCATCGTAGTAAAAACTTTTACATTCTTGAAGTTCTGGAATAGATAAAAAATTGGTAGAATTCGCGCACACTTACAAAAATTTGTAATCAGCTGGTAGCACTACCTTACATTTTTATTGTACCGTGTTTGAAAATTTCTACGTTCGACGTATTTCGGTAAAATTCATATGTTTTCATATATTTAACTCTTTTGGTGAACAACACAACATTAACCCCCATTTTCAGGATTAAATGCTCTTACGACCGGATTTATTTTAAATTCCCTGCCGAATCTACATACTAACGGATTGCATTACAGAACCAGTGGTACAATTTTGCATTTAAACAAAATATCCTTTCGCCTTCTGTAACATATCTACATATCTATATCTAAGTATACAGGTAGTCGCATCGAAACAGCTGCTGGGACAATGAACTGTCAAACCGATTTTGGAATTGAAAATCTTGAATAAAAAAATTTTAAAATTTTTAAAAATTGTTAAAAAAAATACATATCATTACAACCTACTATTGGCGTCGCATAAGAAAACATATAAAAATCTGCTTATTTTTGACAAAACACTTTAAAAATTTTGACATATTAATGTTCCCAAACGTTGTTGCATCTACCTATATGCTTCTATCATGCCACAAATTATATATATATATATATATATATATATATATATATATATATATATATATAGATATATATATATATATATATACATATATATATACATATATATATATATATATATATATATATATATATATATATATATATATATATATATATATATATATATATATATATATATATATATATATATATATATATGCCTTTCATTGTCACCTCTTTTGATTTCTCTGAAGCCAATGATGAGAAAATTATCAGCTGATAGCTCCACCTGACCTTTTTACTGTACCATGGGTTGAATGATCAACTATATGTGTGGACACCAATCTTATGCAGAACTCCGGAACAATTAGTTCAAACCCCGTGGGGAGTTTCCTAGGGGCGGTATCTTCGAAACTGTTCCCGGATCTCCCGATATCATTGAAATCGTTTCCTATCCGTACGGTAATGGTGTCGGGTCCCGCCGTTCATGACATATTTGTAAGGCTAAAGGTTGTCTCGCGGAGATTGCGGACCTCTTCCTGTCGAGGAATTTGAAAATATCCAACACTAAATCAACTGCCACACTCTCTGCACATGGTCTGCGGAGATGGGAAACAAACGAATGTGCAGGTCAACGAACCTTTTTTTCCTCGCTAACAGGCATCGATACTTTGCTGTTTGTTAAATAGGTCCGTCTGTTGTTAGCTACATAGCACCAGTGGAATAGCGAATACTAATGCTACGCAATGGAAGAACATACAGACGCGTCCGAATGCTGCCCTGAGAACTTCAACAGGGATCCTCATGACTGCTACTATACACCATCATATCCACATGCTTTTGTTGGTTACTAGCTTTGATACTACCCATGGTAAAATTAAGAAGGTAAAGTCATTTCAAATAAACATACCCATATCTGCATTTTTTGTAAATTACCTTGTCACATTTCACTACAATAATGTAAATGTAAAAATGCCTGCACCTTTAAGGTGAGAATTCGTAAAACGCTTGGCTTGAGTGACAGGTGGACTTAGTTTCCTTCCGAAGAAGCCTGCCGAAATACTACGAGGAAGAGTTATTTTTTAGTATATCAAATTCCTTAGAAACTCTCAATTGTACTAATGTAAAAGATGTGGCTGAGATGAAAAATTGACTGCATCCTAGCCACACCAACTTAATCTGTGGCAGTTAACATTTTTCAACAAAGCCATTCTATACATTTTAAAGAACTATCATTCCACAACTGTTGCTAGTTATTTCGCCAAGAAGAAACAATTCTCAATTTTTATTGCAAATTAATTTTGAAATATTTAAAAATGCGTAAAAATAAACAAAGTCTACAAAAATACAGAAGATTGTTGTGTGAATTAGCCTTTGCGACCCCTTGTCCCAGTGGATATGATTTTTGTTGTCTTTGGCAAAGCTGTTGTTGTTGTGGTTGTGGCTTCCTCGCTCTCTCCGCTGTAATCACTATCCGTTATCATCATTGTGATGGCTTCGATTAGGGTCATATTTGAATTGATACCCTGAATGACATTTGGAATGCTGATTTGAAACTGCAACAACACCACCAGATATGTAACCATTGTTGTCAAAAGCTAAAATGAGAGACAAAACACGCACATAAACACACACACATACATGTGTATATTTTTTGGACCATTTTTAGTATGTCGATCAGATCAATAACACAATTAAAATATCGCACATCTGAGGCAATGTACAAAGATAGTGCCACACAGTTGCACTCACCCCTTTGAAGAGATTGCGATTGACGTCGAAAAACCCACCACAATTGATGTTCGACGGATTCATTTCGGTTGCTCGTAAAAACATATTGATCTCGGTCTGCGCATCCGAATTCATCCAATTCAATTCCACCATCAAGAGTTTCTTCTGGAAATTGGTTCGAACATACAGCGATGCATTGTGGGCCTGGTCGCAGATGAAGAACAGCAAACAAATGTTCCAAAGTGCCGTTATAGCCAAGCCGATGTCCTTGATGCCGAAACCCTCCGACAGCTGGGACATAAGCCCGTAGATAGACAACGTAATGATGAAGAACAGGTACAGGTTGAGAAAGGTGAAAGTATAGCATGTTGCCGTGCCAGTGTCACGAGTCAACTTGCTAAGGCGGAGCCACAAAGCTCTGTGATCGGCTACCATTGCTGCTGGACCAATGTGTCGCAAGGCCTGTTGAGAGAGATAACACATAATATTTTATATTGTTTGAATTATAAGGATGTCTTTTGGTAAGAAGTGGTTCCGAACAAGAGCATCGTTTTGTCGCATTCTAGAATTTATCATAAATTCACTAATGAAAATTCGTAAATAGCGACCGAAAACATCGAGTGGGAAATTAGTCGTCTCAAGCCCAAAAGCAATAAACTTAAGTTCGCCGGTTCAAAACTCGAAAGACAATTTTCCTGTCGAACAGTACTATCTTATTTTGAGTTGACGTACTCATTGATAATCCTCAATATCTAATTAAGGCCAATTTGGAAAAACCGGTAAAAATTTTAAACAACTGTAAATCGACGGAAGTATTAAAGGGGATTATACTAAAAGGGGGACGGTTTTGCGGAAAAATCTTTGTGTATTAAATTATGTCCGTAAATATTCTCCGCCAAAAATGTGCATAAAACATCGATAATATGGGTCTGCAACGCGATCCGGGTCAGCTAATTGCAAATAAAGCTTATTGTAAAAACAAGTAAGCAAAGGCTATAGTCGTGCGGGGCCGACAATGTGATACCCTACAACACTACAACGTGTTAGAGGCCCTCTTATGTCCAAATTTACTTTGGAAGATTTCGCTTTTGAAATTATGTCACGGAGCACTGCCCAGCAATTTGACCAGTGACATTTGCCCTATATTTACGAACTCCGTTGTGCTCTTTGTTGTTGTGGTCCATTTTACAGCTAAATATAATCCAATGGTCATCCAAAATGCTAGACTTCTTCCCTACGATATTTGGCTATATCAGCATAAAAAGCCAGAAGTTCGCCTTTTTGTGTATTTTGGATAGTGGTTCATTCTACCCACTGTTTTAAACTCTAACTTCGAGATTTCGTGTCCTTTGGTTTCTATTTATGACCTTTATAAGGGCTGCAAAATCAGGAACATTTTTAGTTGTTGGTCCCTTTCACCCCCTAAATATATTGCGGACATCTTTGAAAACAATAGGTCTAGCGTGAGGAGGATCGGACGGTAATTGTAATCTGTACATAATAACCCCAACCTGTGTTGTAAGGTAAAAAAATATTACAAAATATACACTTCAATATTGTGAGTCAAATTGAAAAAATCGCATGCGATAAAAAAAATGAAAAAATAAAAAACTGCGACCTCTAGAGCAACTGCAAAATCAGGAATTTTTTCAGTTTTTGGTTCATTTCAACCCCTAAATATTATGCGATCATCTCCAAAAGAAATAGGGTTCTATTCTGAACCTTAACCCTACCTGCATTTTCAATTTCGTGAGGATCGGGCCATAATTGCGACCTGTAGAGTGATTACAAATTAACATGGACAGACGGACAGACGGAAGGACGGACATACATAGCTAAATCGGCTCAGCTCGGCGAGATAGGAAGATCCGTATATTTTCCTATGTGGAAAATTAATATTTCGAGGTGTTACATAATTTTTGGCCCAATCAAACTTATAATACCCCCAACACATAGTGTTGTAGGGTATAAATACTTACATAATTATTGTGTTCCTGTACTTTAATGGTAAAATCATTAAAAGAGAGAAATGTTATGCTCGCTCTGAGAAAACTACTTTACACAGAAACTACGGGAACGGGAAACTAATAAATATGTCATAATTAGTGACAATACTTCGAAAACAAGATTTCAGTCAATCAGAAGCTGGCAACCATGCTAGTATTTTTTACTCGGCCAAATTCATTTTATAAAGAGAACGTCATCTTTGTGTGTTCTCTCAATATTTATAACCTACACCACAGTGTGGTTAGGGTATTATGTCTTTGTGCATTTGTTTGTAACAGGGAGAAGGAAACGAGATATACCCATAGCTACTCTTAAGGATCCTCATAGAATAACTTTTTAGTCGATTTATGGATGTTTGTACGTCCGTCTGTATGTCCATGAATTTTTGTGAACAAAGTACGGGTCGCATTAATTGTTCGATCGACCAAATTGAGCATAGATGCAAGTATGTCAAATTTGTTGAAAATCGGTTAAGATGAATCTAGTGTTCCGATCCCTCACAGCCGTAATATGAACTCAATAACAACAATATTCGCGGAAAGATATCAAATACAGCTCAAAAATACCTTTGCCAAACTTGATAGAGATCCTTTCATATTTAGATATAGTTTATTGTGAGCCAAATGTCCCAAAATTAAATAGATTTTGGCATATACGACCGATTTCAGTCCGAAAGAAAATGTGTCAAAGTTGAAAGTGTGTCAAACTTGGTGAAAATCGGTTCAGATATAACTATAGGTTCCATATATATTATTATCCAATTTGGTATTAAAGTCCTGCACTCCGAAACAACAATATTTAGATAGCATCCAAACACCTCGGCTAAATTGTTTAGAGATCGGTTCAGATTCGATATAGCTTGCATATATATCTTCATCCGATTTCACGTTTATTGTGCTCCAAAATGTAATACCCTATTTTCGGAAAATCGGTTCAGACATAGTTACAGCTCCGATATATGTGTTTCAAACTTAGACACAAATGTCTCCCAGTGGAAATGGGCCATATAGAGCGGGATGTGCCATATGCGAGGTCCATTCGGTTGGGAATTATCATGATGTATGATCTGCTTTACATAAATTAACGTATATTTGTTACAGGCTAGCTCTACTAAATGAACATAGTGATGTAGAGTATCACAAAATCGACCCGTCCGCCTTTTCACCTTTCTTTAGAGGGCTCCTTATAAGATTTCCTATGTTTTGGTGCACGGGAGCGGATTTCGAGTAAAAAATTTTTAAATCTTGTAGAATAACACTGATTAGTAGTCATTTTAACAAAAACTAAGAGATAGATATTAGATTATTATTAATCGGCTTCCTTTTAAGGCATATAATTCTACTAATAATTTAATTTATTAAAACTTTAGGACAATATTTTTATAAATATATAAATGTTAAAATATAGCGACAATTTAATTTTATTTTTCTCTTAACTATTCCCCACACAACACATATGTAGTGCTAATTCATTACTTAATTACTTAAAAGAATTAATAAAGATAGTTTCGTTTGTTATTACGATGTAAGACAGGGTGTTTTCCAGTGCAATCCTGACAGGCTAAGTAGACACGGAACTAGCCTTGTTCTTAAAATTCGAAAACGTGGATCAACTTCAAAAAATTGTATACCGATTTGCGTACTCAATAAGAAACCTAAATATGAAATTATACAACACCGCTTGAAATCATAGTAAACCAATTTAACCGGGGGTTTACCGTTATATGGTGGTTCTACCAAAACGATGACCAATATATCTAATCTACAATCCTGATCTTCGATGATTATTTCGATCTATCTCTATCTCTCGAAGGTAATGCAGTTATTGCGACTTTTCTGTATTATATAAATGAAGTAAATTTCGCAATTTGTATGGCATACTCACCTTTTGAAATCGTTCCGCCAATATATAAGCAGTCCTACTTAAAGCCTCGCATATAAGGTACCACCAGGCGCCCAGCATTGCTGTCAGATTATCCAAAATACAATAGGGAATAACCTAAAGAAATTACAAAGAAAAAATAGCTGAAAACAGCGCCAAATAATTGGAATATTCCAATTTACCTGAATAAAACTAAAATCGGCCATCGTTATGTGTGTCACTATTACGGACAGTATTGAGAGTATCGGCAACACCAAAACTATGTTCTGAGCCCGTCGTCTCAAATTCAGGGGTACACTGTGTCCGGATATTTGATAGTAGAGAATCTGAATAGGTTTTTGTTGATTGAATTAAGAAAATCAGTGGCGACACAAAACACAATAGCCATTACCTCAAAGTCGTCCCAATCGTTGAAGAGTGTACAGACTTTGCGTGTCTCCCACCACATAATTGGCACCGTGAAAATGGGCAATATATTCACAAGAAATAGGTACGCGATCACCGCCTCCTCGAATGGACCGCTTAACGAAGTGACGATCATGATGCGTTGATTTGTTACATAAGCAACGTATGCCTGCAAAGGATTGAAAAGTGTACAGATCTCTGTAGGTTATTTAAAAATTAATTTAAGCTATTCGCTTTCAAAAATTATATGTACAGGGTGAGATGAAAAAACTGCAACTAACTTAAGATTGCTGTCATTTCTGAGCCACTCGTCGGACAGCTGTTAAAATTATTCCAGTGACAGCTCATTATATTGTTTACAAGGCTCAAAAGCATTTTGGTGAGAATTTTCCAAAAAAAACAGTTATTCGTGATGGAATTCAAGCGTGATAGTGTGATTTTTTTATATTTGGCTTGAAAACTACAAGTGGCTATCGTTAGAGCACTCCAGCATTTAAATGTGAATAAATCTTTTGTGTTTCGTACCATCGCTCCTTACCGTGATACTGGTAGCGTAGCCCGACTCAAGGAAGTGGAGGGAAGAAAAAAGCAAAGGTACCCATTTCGAACAAATATAAACTTATTCTAAAATTTGATGCTATTTCCGACATTTTTTGCTTTCATTCAATAAAATTTAAAAAAAAATGTAAAAATTATTGCGTTTGACTTTGTTGCAGTTTTTTATCTCACCCTGTATATGGATCTTCGCCCCTCGCCGCCCTGTTTCGATCTAGCTATGTGTGCCGTCCGCCCGTCTGTCCATGTTAATTTAACTCAATTATGGTCCGATCATTACGAAATTGAAAATGGAGGCGGGGTTAGGGTCAGAGGCTTTTTTGGTTTTGGAGATGATCGCAGCATTTTTAGGCGTTGAAATGTACCAAAAATAAAACAATTCTTGATTTTGTTGTTGCTCTACAGGCCACAATTATGGACCACACAGAATTTTGCATGGAGTTAGAGTTTAGGGCTATGCAGAAGCCTACCAATTTGTACGGCCATCGGACAATACTTAGTGAGTAAAAAATATACATTTTTTTAAATATACGAAAATCTCCACTAAACCGCGAATCCTGACGCGATTACAAATTCATTATTACGGTGACCCGGATATTTTTTTGTTAATTTTTTTCAAGTTTTGTATTATTTATTTATCTATGCAAGGTTGCTTTCTTCATACTAAGAACACAAACTGCCAATTTAGAGCAAATTTGGGCTAAAAATGTGACTGAAACAACCACAACACCTTAAATCTGCCGGTACATTTTTAATAGCAAAAATTTTGGTTCAATACCTCAAATACATCTGAGTAAAATTGTATCAATCTACTTCATTTCGTTCGGAAGAAGAAGAGATTTTTTAAAGTAAGTTTTTTGTATATTATTACAAACAAATTGCACTGCAGTGAAGTTTTAGCCAAAACGTTAAAATAGACCAAGCTAAACTTTCAATAACCTCTACCATGAGGCTCTATATCAAATAATGCGGTCAGACAGACGGACATCGAGTTAAAATTTTAAGTTGATCATCAATGTAAAGGGTGAGATAAAAAACTGCAACAAAGTCAAACGTCATAATTTTTAATTTTTTTTTTTTAAATTTATTGAATGAAAGCAAGATTTTTTCGAATTGGTCACCTTTGTCACGAATTATGGCCTTCAAACGGCCAATGAAACCGTCACACGCTGCCCGAATGGCGCTCGGCGGTATTTTGACCCATTCCCGGCGAAGCGCTTGCTTGAGATGATCGACACTTTGGTATTTTTTTTTTTAGTGCCAACCTAGCTTTCCAAAATACTCCAGACACAATAGTCCAACGGATTGGTATCCGGATATTTTGGTGGCCATTGTGCGCTGGAAATAAAGCAGGATATTTATTTTGTAACCATTCTTAGGTGGCGCGTGCTGATTGCGATGGGTCTGAGTCCTGTTGGAATGTCAAAGGTCTGCGGCCAAAATTTTTGCGTGCCCAAGGCTTTAATACACCCTTCAGAATATTTTCGTGATAGTATTCGGCATTTATTCTGATGCCATGTTTGATTAATACGAGCGGAGAGCGACCATCTGCTGTTATGGCGGCCCACACCATCACCAAGATAATGCAAGACCGCAAGAACAACAAGACACACGTCTAAGATGCAACAGAACCCCATTCCTATTCTGCCCCAACCCCAGGCCTTATTAGAAACTCGTAAACTCAACTATAATTGTAGTATTCCGGCAGATACTCTGGCAATCAACAAGTCTGTCGAGATGGTGAAAGGGCTTAGCATTAGCATAACAGTACCAGTGATAGTCAGGCCGCCTTAAAGCTATCAAATAGAGGGTCATTTTTAATTGCAAGAAAATCCTCTTTGAAATACGTGGCTTCATTAAGGTCTAGTAATGCAATGTGTGACTAATAAAATGCTGATTGAAGCAATTGTAAAACTGCTGATAAGCCATTATATCAACCGTTTGAAGCACCGAGTTAGCTGGCGGAAAATGAAACCTATAAACCACTATTCCATTTGCTAAAAGCATCTCCTGTCTGGACAGGGATGGAATTTGGCACTTACGACCGAATTGAGTCTAGAAGCTAGTATGCCAAATTTGGTGAAGATCGGTTCTGATATAGCTATAACTCCCATATGTACTGTTCACCCGATTTGTTGTATTTGTTACCCACAGCCGTAATATGAACTCCGTAACAACGATATTCAGGGAAATATATCAAATCAGCTCACAAATATCTTAGCCAAATTTTATTGAGATCGGTTCAGATTTGGATATAGCTCCCATATATATGATTTCAAATTAATTTTGCACCAAATGGGCAATACAAGTCAGAATTTAAAAGATACAAATGCTTCGGCAAATTTAGTCCTTTGAACCTTAAATTATAATTATAATCATAGCGTGTATGATTGAATTCTCCCATAAAAACTTGTAATTGTTATGTGGAGCTCTACTATATTTGCAAAGTGGTGTAGGGTATCGTAAGTCGGCCCCGCCCGACATTAAGTCTTTCTTTACTGGTTATGATTGTGTGTTGTCAACGTACAAATTAATAAAACACGTACATATGTTTTCGAGCTCGTCAGCTAATCTAATGCTATGTTCTCAATGCACTTTCAATCAAGTTGTTCGCTCTCAGAATTAGGTACACGAATTAACCCGTTCATATGGCACGATTCGTAATTAATAGTAAAATAATTCCTTTTTTCAAAAATTTTGTTTGTTGATTTTAATGGGAATTTATACGAAAATACATGAAATTCTCACTAATATGAATAGAAGAAATTATTGTTTTCCTCCCAAAGATTTATTATATCATTAATTTTACAATTTTCATTCACGATTTCAACTTTTTGTGTAAATGTTGACATTTTGAACACATTTTTGTGTTTTTCCATTTTTAAATTCTGCTGGAGAGACACTTGTCAAACATTTTTTCTGCCGATAGAAACATTTTGAAAATGTTGCCTCTCTTGTTTGCGTTTTCTGTGGAAATTTTAACTCGTGGACAAAATACGTACCTCGAATGAGAGAGAAAACAAAATTTACTTTCGTTTGAATGTACATACGCCATTCAACATTGTAGTTTTCATTCATAATTTTCAGTCTTCCCAAAAATTTTTAAAATTTCATCAAATTTTTCTATTTTTAATTTTTAAATGTAATAATTTATTTTTTCGATAAATGCTCTCATTTGTTAGGGATGGGACATATTTTTTCGTTGTTCTGAGAGTGATTTGATTTGAACAACGTACAAATATGAGTGTTCGCTCAGGAAATTTTGTGTGAAGAATTAGGTAGTTTTTTCATAGTTAAGGGTCAAACAACGAATAGAGAGCGAATCAAGTGCAGTGGAAACGCCACATAAGTTTATATTTGAATTGTAATTTATCAATATTGGTTCTTACTGTATTGAATAGTATGTCACAAAACTAAAATACATTTAAATTTATTGGATTCAATAACATTTGCACCAAGGCCTATATAAGGTCGGCCAGGAAGCGAATTGGTAAAAAAATACAGCTCTGTCTGTTAATTTTAATGTCAATTTTTTGTTTTTTTTCTAGGCGAAAAACTTGTTTCGGCCTGACATCTAATAATCATGGCAAATTTGTTAATTGCCAACAAAGAAAAACAAAACCAAAGGGAAAACATCATGTATCAGAATGCCGACTTTTGTGTGGGAGGTGCCAGAAGAAGTACACCGAAACCTACCATCTTCGGATATTATATTTGTAAAAATATTTGAATGTGTGAATTTTAGATTGAATCATCTTATAATGCATTTTATGAAAGATAAAATTATTCAAAATGTTGACCCTTTGTGGGGGAGGTACTTGAGAGAGTAGACTGATATTGTCCTAGCACTGATATGGTTATTTGGATGCACAGAGTTTGAAAAAAATTGGATGATCTGTTTTTGTTGTATTATGTAAATTATTTTCTTTGAAATTATTGACCCTTTTTGAGATAAGTACCAGTAGGATTGGACCAATACTGCTCATCTACGAACTCGATCTAAGTTTTCTAAGCCAAATCGGGAACTCCCTTCGAGAGTTATCGTGTGCATCAAATGTATGGTCGGACAGACACCTCTAGATCGATTCCAAATGTCCTGAAACGGATTTGGTTCAAAGAGACTTAGGGTCTCGAACCATTGTTTCGATGAGACACGTTTTGGCCGAAGTGTTCAGTAAATACAGAAGACGTTCCTTTAAATTCTATCTGGCAAACGTTATTCTATTCTGCCCTCGACACTTCATCTTTTGGAACCGAAAGAAATGTGCTCCTTCCTGGAACCTCCTTCTTTCTGTTTATTTATAATTTATATAGATTTGTCTTCAAATGCCTTTAATAATTTAAATTATTTCGAATTCTTTTTTACAAGAACGTCACAATTTTGTTTTTGTATTCATGGGGCGAATTCAAAATATATTTTGACAGAAAACTTGGTCGTCAGATGGTCTTACTGGCCGACATTATATAGGCCTTGATTTGCACATTGTCTACATATGAAAATACCAAATGGATAAAAATGCGATTTTTATCGCATTTCATACGATGTGAAATATTCATAACCAACACTGAACTCAAAAATTAATATTTGCTTTTGTTGGCTAAAAACCGAGGTAAGCAGCAGCAGTCATGTTGCGTTGTTGATGCTGAGCTATTTTGATGCTAAGGCTAATTTCATTTTAGCTTCTGCCGCTCACTGCTATTTTGCTTTGGTGACGATTTCAAGTAGCATTAGCTCCCTCGGCTAAAGTTTCTTGTAATGTGTTGCTATTATTGGCGTAGTACATTGATAGGCTAAATTTTTTGAAGTTTTTCTAGTAGGCAAGGCTGAAAACTTTCGGTGCTATTGGAAATTTGGCGTTAGCATTTTAAACCCTGATATCAACCCAAATGGAATGAATTAGCAATTACGACTGTAAATCGTTGTAAATCCTTTCAGATATAGAGGTCTCACATGCATTCCATAACAATGATGTTTGGTACCAGATATCGGATATAGCTCTGAATATAGCTCCCAAATATATTCTCAACCAATTTCGGATTAATTGTACACCAAATGGCTAATATAAATCCAAATGACCTGAATTTTGGTATATTCGATCGAATTCAGATATAGCTATAGCTCCCATATATATGTTTCATCTGATTTGGTGTTTGAGTCCCTCACATTCGTAATATGCATTCGACAACAATTATATTTGCTACCAGCTATCAGTATTCTTCTGCTAAGCATAACGGGACATTTTTTTTCGTTTCTCTATGGAGGGAAAATTTGCCTCTCTAACATATATCTTCAAACTTATTTTGTTTGGGTACTACAAGTAAATATATGCTTAGATGCATGGATACAAGTATATATATGTTTGGATGTAAGCATATATATACTTCAATACAAACACATATATGATCGATCCAAGCATGTATATGCTTGGAAGCAAGTAAATATTTACTTCGAAATAAGTATATGTATGTTTTTATCGAAGTATATATATTTAATATATATGGAACAGTGTTAGCTTGTTTGTTCGGGATACCACAGAATTTTGTTATTGCAAAATGGTCAGGTTTAATCCCTGTTTTTGTCGTTTTTAAAACTTTCTTTTAAATCTTTTAGAAAATCCTCTAAATCCTACAACCGCACTTGTAAACATTTTCATCATTCTCCACGCAACAGCATCAATAAATAACAAAACACAAGTGTTTAGCCGCGCAGCAAAAACAACGTTTTCATCCCCGACACAATCTGTTTTTGCAACCAATCGACTTCAAAAAAAATTATTTATTATATTGGCCGTCTGACATTACCTTTGATGAATTGATCCAATTCACAATAAATGATATTAATAAAAAAAAACAAGTGAAAAAACATTAAGTTCGGCCGAGCCGAACTTTTAATATCCGTTATGAACTACAAATACCAATTTTTACACAAATATCGAATATCGGCAGGTACCGTTATATGGAGGCTATATCAAAACGTGGACCTATACATACAATTTTTCGCCACCGGAGCTAGAACCCATTACGACCAACAAATACCAATTTTTATACAAATCCTTGGAAGTTACCGTTATATGGGGGCTATACCAAAGTGTGGATCCATACATACAATGTTTCGTCACACGAACTAGGACCCATTATGTGGCAAAAATCATTAAAATACCGAATATTGCCATTATATGGGGACTATATCTAAACGTGGACCGATATGTCTCATTTTCAATACCAACCATCCTAAACACAATACAATACAACAGACAGACAGACGGACATCGTTAAATCGACTTAAAATTTAAATTTAAAATACATTGATGAACCATATTGTCTACAATTACTCAAACATGTGTCACACGGTCTGATAAATGACGTCAATTGGCAACCCGTTATTTCTCTTGGCTCAAACCATCTCCCGATAATCGTCTCCATAAGCAGGTCGCCCGATTTCATAACCTCTGAACGCCGCACTTTCCTTAACCATGCGAAAGCTCACTGGCCAGAGTTCAGAGAATTCATCAACCGCCGCTTCAGAAAACTGCCCAACCCTTCTGATGTTCGGGTAGCAGAAAGTTTTTTCCGAAACATCATCAAAGCTGCAGCCGCTCGCTATATACCTGCTGGTCGAATACCCGAGAGGCAGCGGGATTAGCAAACGAGCGTGATGATCTCCGTCGTACCAACCCTACTGATCCTAGAATCAGTGATTTGACAGTGGAAGTCAACCGGTTGGTACAGGAACATATGAGGAAAAAGTAGCAAGACCATCTGAAGTGTTGCAACATTGGAACCGATATGAGTAAGCTGTGGGTAACGGTTAAGTCGCTCTCGAACCCTGAAAAAAGGATGATAGGACCTCAGTCACTTTAAACGACGTAACGGTGACTGATCCGAAGAGATGCGCATAGTATTTTAACCGACAATTTGTCGAGCACCCCGAAAGCGACAAGGTGAAGCGAAGAGTACTACATCGTATCAGATTTCTTCCCGCCAATGAGGAACCACCACAGTTTACGATGGGTGATGTTGCAAATGTCATCCGTAACGCTAAGTCATCCAAAGCGTTGGGCCCGGACGGAGTCTCAATGGCAATGTTGAAACAGCTGGATACGCTGGGAGTCGAGTACTTAACGAAAATTCTCAATTTGTCGTTAGCCACCTACATAGTGCCCGAAACCTAGAAAATGGGCCGGGTGGTCCCGCTACTGAAGCGAGCAAAGATGCCAGCAAAGGCGAATCGTACAGGCCGATTTCGCTTTTGTCGCCAGTAGCCAAGACTCTTGAGGCTTCACTCCTCCTCAGCATTAGATGAAGCTATACAGTTGCCAAACACCAGCGCGGATTCCGTCCACAACATAGTACAACAACAGCACTACACATCATTTCCACACATATTAGTAGAGGACTGAACCAGAACAGACCGTGTGACAGAACAGTGTTGGTAGCCCTTGACTTATCAAAGGCATTTGATACGGTCAATCATGCCATACTGTTTGAGGACGTGCAGAGAACTACCCTCCGGCCAAGTTTGAAGCGTTGGATAATCAACCATATGTGTGGACGCCAGTCGTACGTGGAATTCCGGAACAAGAAGTCCAAAGCCCGTGGAGTGAAACAGGAAGTTCCCCAATGTGAGGTGATATCTCCGGAACTGTTTAACCTCTACCTTTCCGGAATTCCTCGCCCTCCAGACGGCATAGAGATCGTAACGTATGCGGATGATTGTACGATCATGGCGTCGGGCCCAGTGGTCGATGACATATGTGAAAGGCTGAATCCCTATCTCGCGGAGCTTTCCGCATACTTCCACGCGAGGAATATGAAAATATCCGCCACTAAATCAACGGCCACACTCTTTACCTGCGGAGATGAGAACACAGCTGCAGGTCGAGGGGAATCTAATACCGACCACGAACTACCCCAAGATTCTAGGGGTCACATTCGACAGCATGTTCAAGTTATCCGCGCAAGCCACAGCTATCTGCGACAAGATGAAAAGTAGGAACAAGGTCGTCAAGGCGCTAGCCGGCAGTACTTGGTGTGCGGACAAAGAAGCCTTGTTGACCTCCTATAACGCGATAATTCGGTCTGTGGTCAGCTATGCGGCTCCTGTGTGGTCTGCGAATACTAGTGCTATGCAGTGGAAGCACATCCAGACTTGCCAGAACGCTGACCTGAGAACTGCGACAGGTTGCCTTCTCATGACACCAGTGGATCTACATGAGGAGGCAAAACTCCATCCCTTTCGTCAGCATAAGCATATGCTTTCGTTGCAGTACCTGCTTGGGTGTTACCGTGAAGGTCATCCCTACCATCCTATGTGGATAAATCTGCTCCACCCAGGCGTGTCAGGAAGGACATACATGATCTAGTGAGGGAGATCCAGCGCTACAAGAGAGAACCTCTAGATCAAGAAGCCTATCAGAAAGGTCTGAGCGGCGTTCATACAGACGCAGTCGCAGATGCTATTAGCAATTATAAAATGAATGCCGTCCTCGGTGTCCACCCCCCATCCATTGCAGCTGAAGAACGTCAGCTGCCTAGACAAACCAGGGTAATTTTGGCGCCTGTCCGGCGTGTGATACAGGCCCGCACAATACGCTGCACCTCTTTAATTGCACAGCCAAACCTACCTAACTCACGCACCCCATTCTGAAAATAACATCTTAAGTTTACTTAACATAAAATAAACGAAATAAGTTGTTGTCGTTAAATTAGAAGCTCGAAAACAACATGATTTAGACATAGCAGTGGACGAACTTAATGACACCCAAAAATTTCAGTTCAATGAAATAAAGGATGCATGCCTTCGATGAGTTGGTGGAGAAAAATGGGACAATACTCGAACAATTTGTAAATATAGAAAATTTGGTCATTGATTATTTAACTAACTTACTAAGTATTTAATTAACTACTTAAAAAACTAATGATAAATACTTGTATAATTTTCTAAGAACTTTTTTCCAAAAAGAGTTTATTCCCAGAACCCGCGGTGAAGGAGTCGTACAATTCCTTCTGGCGGCAGTTCGAACGTTTTTTTCATATAATTTAGCCTGGTAATATAGCTGAAAGGGGACCAACCATCGCCTTTTGTACACAGCTATACTTCTAATAATCGTGGGAGTCACTTCCACGGCTGTTATTGGGAGTGAAAAAATATATTTTTTTATGCTTTTACTCCAGACTATTATTTTTTATTGTCATTGGTACTTTTCCAATGTACGCTTGCTTGGAACTTATACTAATTAGCTGAGATACTCACACATAATACTTCTCGTTTTCAAAACGTGATGTCTGGCTTAGGAATCGAACTTAGGTGTTCAGAGTGTCTTATATTCCCCAGATAGAATAAAGTCTTATTTTTGATCAATCCGTAAGTAATTGTAAACTATCGATGTTTTATGCGATGGAAGTCACGAAATAGTGTCTGAGACGCGACATCTTATTTTATCTTTCTTGGTGCCACTACGTAGTAGCTCCGTGATTAGAAACGTCGCAGAAGTGGCATCTTAAAAAGGAAGTTAGTGACGCACTTCCAACGAGTCACAAATGGAATGCCCTCCATACTACGTATGCTGCAGGGTACAAAATCTGACTTATACCTATATTCGACCTTGAACGACATTGTGTCTCTTATGCAGTAGATAGAGACGTTATCTGCAAAAAAGGCATATATTTCTTACCGATAAACAGATGAAAATCACCACACAATAAACGAATGGTAGAGAACGAGCAACAAATCGAGTTGTCCCTGGCCCCGAACGTATAATCGGCAATACGCCTAGCACAGACAGGAACCACTTTATTGGAGCAACATTCTGATAAAAAACATTCTGCAACACACAACAGTAGAAAGAAATATTTAGCATGAGAAACATTGCTTCTGCGCCAACAACCTACTGGAATGAACTGCTGATTGGTCGAACTTATGGTGGCCAGAGACGGTCGAATATTAGCCCTTTCATAAACTTGTTTTCTAAATCCATTATGCATCTGATCCATGATGCCATTCGAATACTTCCGGACGGAAATGTCGCCATTCATTATGGGCTTTACATTCAGGAACACGGCATCCTTTTTCTTCTTCCGAGTATAATTGCTCGCCATGATTGCCTGGGGACTTGGCCTAACGTCACTTAGCGTTTTTTGGACTGCTCCGTCAAAAGGTCACACACGAACTGTGGTTCACCTCAGCGAAGGAGTTAACAGGTTAACTACGTTCTAGGCATTCGTAGACATATCTATTTCAAATACAATTAAATATGGATGATGTTGACTTGAAGTCTTCAGTTCGGCCAGTGTCAACATGAATGATTCATTCATTATTTACCCCACATCAAGGGTGGTGTTGAAATCGTATTCAACCACGATATACGTTTATGCAGTTGAGTGAAAGCTTGCTGCCATTGCTTTGTACTGACCAACAACCCTGTTGTGTTTTTGTTGAACTTGGGAATATTTTGAGTTAACTTCCTAACATCCTCTAGAATATTATGATGCACCTTTGTATTGAACTCTGCCTATAACAAGCAATGTATTTACTGGATTATAGTAATTAGGTCAAGGACATGCTCCAATTCAGTTCTTCAATATAAAACAAACGATTTGCGTTATCCATTTTTATACCCTCCACCGTACTATGGAGGGTATATTAACTTTGTCATTCCGTTTGTAACTCATCGAAATACTCATGTCTGTCTATCTGTCCGTCTCTCTGTCTGCCTGTTTAAATCACGCTATCTTTCGAATGAATTGAAATAGATGGCTAAAATTTGGCACACATGTTTATTTTTCCAGTAGGCAGGTTGCGTTTGTAAATGGGCCATGTAGGTCCACGTTTTCATATAGCCCCCATATAACGGTACCTCTCGATATTCGGCATTTTTATGATTTTAGCGACATTATTCACCGGAATTGTTTTAAATTTGGTATTTGAAGTTCGAAATGGATACTACACCCTAAGACAGAAAATTGTATATGCAAGTCCACGTCTTCTTATAGCCCCCATATAACGGTACCTCCCGATATTTGGTATTTTAATGATTTTAGGGACATTTTTCACCAGAATTGTTTCAAATTTGAGCCCCCATATAACGGTACCTCCCGATATTCGGTATTTGAATGATTTTATGGACATTTTTCACCAGAATTGTTTCAAATTTGGTATTTGAAGTTCGTAATGGATACTACAGCCTATAAAAGAAAATTGTATGTGCAAGTCCATGTCTATATTTGATGATTTTAGCGTCATTGTTCACCAGAATTGTTTCAAATTACGTATTTGGAGTTCGGTATGAGAACTACAGTCTGTGACAGAAAATTGTCTATGCAGGTGCAGGTCTTCGCATAGCTCCGATATAACGGTACCACCCTATATACGATATTTTGATGATTTTAGCTACATTATTCACTGTTTATTTCATGTTTTGAATTTGAATATGGTAATGGCTTATGACAAACAATACCTATGTAGGTCCACGCCGTATAGACTCCAATATAACGGCTATATTTGTTATTTTTAAAATTTTAACAGATTTTTTAAGAATTTTTTAATTCTATTGCAAAACTGGTGAATATATTTAATGAGCGAACAGAATGTACGTTTCTTCCAATCAGTTACCATGAAAATTCTTTGTTCTTATTTATCACAACAATAAATCAAACACAAAGTTGGCAAAAGTCGGGCACACTCAGAAAAAATTTCATCATCTGATACCTCTAACTTACCTTTTCATTATAACATAGTTTTTCTCTCTTAATATAATTACGTACACGTTTTAATGCAATACAGATGTATCATCCTGTGCTGTCACTTTTATTATCCATGTGTATGTCTAAATTGCCATTTTACATATGTCTAATAATTCTTGTATATGTTTTTATACCCATATGGCTAGAGAGGGTATATATCATTTGATTCGGCCGAAACGTGTCTAGTCGAAATAACGGTTTTAGACAATAGGTCTCTTTGGACCAAATCCGTTTCAGGATACTTAGAGTCGATCTAGCTATGTCCGTCCGTCCGTCTGACTGGCTTAGTCAAACTTAGATCGAGTTCGAAGATAGGCAATATCGGTTCACTCCTTCTGGTACCTCCCCCACAAAGGGTCAAAAGTTTCAACAAAAATATTTTACTGCACAGAAAGAGAAAGGATAAACCGATTTTGCGTCAGTGCCAGGTCAGGCACACTCCATCAAGTACCTCCCCCACAAAGAGTGAAAATTTTGAATAATTATAACTATCATAAAATGTAAAATGTGTGTAAGAATCCGATTATAAACCCAAGCTCTGGTGTTAAGATGGAGTATATCGGTCCACTCCTTCTGGTACATCCCCCACAAAAAATCGAACAATTGAATATCTATTAACCTCATAAAACGCGAAATTAACGTCCGATTCCATTTAGACTTGGCACGTCTGAATATTACTATTTACACAATATCTGTTATAAAAACGGTAGAGGTCGGACCATTCCTCTGGTACCTCCCCCACAAAGAGTCAAAGTTTTGAAAACCCAAAACCTATATAAAATCAGAAATAAGCTCTTTACTCTGTTTGAATATGGGATATATCGGTACACTTCTTCTGGTACCTCCCCCACAAAGGCTCAAAATTTTGAATATCCACGAAGCTCATAAAAACCGAAATTAACATCCGATTCCATTTTAGACTTGATACATCTCAATATTTTCATCAACACAAGATCTGTTATAAAGATGGTAGAAACCGGACCATTTCTTTTTCTATCCGTCCCACATAGGGTTCAAGGTTTTGATAAACAAAACGCCAAAAAAGCATGCAACTCTCTTCAAATTTTACACATACAAACATTCTTGTAAATACAAAATATGTTGTGATGATGTTATATATCTGCGAACCCCTTCTGGTACCTCACCCACAAAGTGTCACAATTTTCAACTCATTTATCTGTCATGACTTGCGAAACAAGTCAACGATTTTTTGCAACTTGCTATATCTAAATATATCTTTCTTAATCAGATGCATATGGAATTTATTATAACTGTTGTTATTTATTGTTGACCTGGTAGATTTTAATATGTTTGTTGATAGTTCGGTTGAAGGCCAATAAAACAAATTTATTTAGTTATCTCCTTTTTTCTCTTTATTATATCCAATATTTCGATTGTCATCGACAATCATCTTCAGGGATCTGTTACAAATAACATAAATTATTAGAAATTAATAAGAGAAATTACACAACACACAAATCTGGTTACCCTAAAATTTGTAAGAATTGTTACAAATTGTTACTGGAAGTCGTCTGTTAACCCAAAAGTTCTGCAAGAGAGCGGTCGGAGAGAGAAATTTTGACAGTTCTTTCAGTGAGAGTTTGCAAATTCTTGCTGGACAAATTTCTTCTTGCAATCACTTGCAACTCTTCTTCTTCTCATTCATCGACATTCAATCAGATGTTTTCTATTGTTTGTTTATTTCTTTTTGTGTTTTCAATCTGAAAATATTTTTTTTTGGAATTAGCAAGATTAATTGTTTTTAAAGAACAACTTTACAAAATGTGAAAAAAGTAAATATTAATACGTAATAAGGAAATAAAATACTATTTCCAACATCTTTATACAAGCACCATTAGCAACACGTTAAAAGGATTCCGGGGAAAACATCAAATCTATCTTTCTTTTATTGCTCATATTTGTATTTTATAGCTTATTTCCATTTTATTTATAAATCTTGTAAATTTGGTAGTGCTTCATTTTTTTGAATGGGGGACAAATTGTTTTGTTTTGACAAAACAGCTGATTAGTTGCAAGCTTCTGCAGGAATACCGTCTGTTTACTTTTCGCATTTTCCATGCAAAAGAGAATAAAAGTACCTTACACTCTCAGAAAGATGTTGCTGGACAATTTCTGCAGGAAAAGTAACCAGACACACCTATTAACCTTGTTTTAGAGGAAAACGTCTATTCTAATTTAACGTCAAATTCGAAATAAGTCTTTTTCCATCTGTGCTTATGTACTAAATTTCTGTAAATATGTGCACAATGGTCCCTATCAGTTTTATAGTTCATTCTTTTTTCCGGTGGTACATTTATGATATGAAACATTTCTAATGTGAATCGTCTTTTATAGTTGCTTTCTTGTGCCATTATATCAATATCCTTAAAGTTCGGTCTATGTCCTCTTAATGTGCAATGTGGTGTTAGAGCTGTCTTTTGTTCTAAAGGTTTGTTGAGTTTCTTGTAATTTTGCCCATACTAATATTTTTATCTGTATAAGATGAAGTATGAAATTCTTCGGTCGACTATATTTGGTACCTCACGCACATTTTAACATTTTCTAAAAATTATGACATATCTCATATGAAGTGAAGGAAGTAACCAATATAGTCCAAACATGACACGTCGCAATATTTATATCATATTTATTTGGGTCCGATACGAAATGGACAATATTGACCCATTCCTTCGGAACATACTCCATAGAGGGTCAACATTTTGAATAATCCTAACAGAAGTCAAAATATATTAAAATAACGAACATTGGCTGAGGGTATACATCTGTCGGCAAAACCTACTGACGCTTTTAACGTGTTTTTTTTCCTTTGTTACATTTGATCTGTTCCAGAAACTGCAAGAATTTACTAGCTATGCATTTTTTCCTTGCAGTTCTGGAACAGACGAATTGTGATTATATTGTACTAGCTGGCCCGGACCGCGTGAGTCTTTAATGCATATTTTTTAAAGCACAATAGAACACAGATATGAATTATGTAAGCGGCACAATTTTTATTATAAGTAAAGTAACTCCATAGTAATTTCTAAATAGAAATAACATTCATGGCAAAAATTATAATACATAATCACCTACCGTCGGTTTTAGATATTTTGAATAGCCTGATCTTATTTTTCAGCCATAATTGAGTGATACAGAACTTCTATATGATATAGAACTTCTATAATAGTCCCATGTGAAAACTCGGCTCATTTTTTGGCACTGTAAAGAGCTTAGTAACATTTTCCATTCAAATTAACTGTAATTAGGAATTTGTATTTCCAATGTTTAGAATACCGTGCTGCGAGGTATTTAGGTTTGTCCACCTCATAATTGATAGCAGCCATTACCGTAAGATAGGAATTAATTTGTTTGTGTCATAAAGTCCATATTTTTCATCTCAGTAAATTTCAATGACGATCAAGGAAAATTAATATTCGTGATATTTTCATGTTTCTGCCACAACTTGACATTTCGGAGTTTATGTCATATAGACGTACATCCCACATCTACGTTCCCAACCAATATTCTCTTTGGAGTTTCAAATTCAATAGAATACCAAATTTTCTTTTTTGACCACATTGGTTGGCAAAGTGGACTTGGGGGTACACTAATGTGGGATGTCTATGTGGTCAATTATCTGTAAGATGATTCTCTACCCCAGAGTAGCCTAAATACAATTTCTTAGCCAAATCAATTGATGAAATGTGGTCAAGACCAAGATATGATGGACCAATCGTATGATGGTTATACCAAAACGTGATCATTTTTTGCAAGGATGGTTTCTTCTAAAATTACCAATATTTGCCGAAATTAGTATGACAAATATGGTTAAAATGTAACATATACTTAAAATCGGGTTGTACCCTTATCCGGGAGTTATGACCCATATCATGGCCTGCAAAAGCGATTTAAGGTATATATAATCCGCTCTACCATTTTGCATCCTTTATATTCGGTATTTTAATGATTGCAGTCCCAATGAATTGCATTTTGAGGATTATTGTCATATGAAAGAAGTAGGTCCACGTAGGTCATTCATTCCATTTTTAATATTATTCATTCAGAATTCAAAATATAGTATGTCAAATTGAAAAAAAAAAAATCACACCAAAAAGATTTTTCTATATTTCACCGCGATTTTTTTTTTCAGGATACCATTCCCAAATTGTATGCATTCTCAAAATCCGTCAAGCCGTTTTTTTAGTTATAAGCGTAGTACCTAACGTAACAAAAATTTAAAAGTCCTTACGAAATTTGTCAATAGAATGTAATATTGTTTTAAAATTCGATTTCATTGATTTTTTTTTTCGATTTTTCCCGATTTGAGAATTTTTGCCATGAGATTTTGAAAAAGTAATTATGTTTTAACTTTGGTGTGACCGCGTTAAATTATTTCGATATCATCTATTCCGTTTCGCCACCACATAATTCGGTACTACACTTCAATATAACCAACCAATTTCAATTCTTAAGAAATTGGGTCAATTAAATAAATGGTATTAATATTCGAATTCAAAAAAAAAATATAAAAAACACTACAAATATACATTCGAAAAAAGTAAGTCAAAATGGAAAAAAATCATGCAAAATAAAACATTACTATTGTACATTTCAAAAGTCAAAATAAAAATGTTAATATATCACAATTTCACGCGATTTTTTTTTTTTTTTTTTTTTGAATTTTATCTTTTTCGCCCAAGAGACAATTACGAATTTGTATGAAACTTAAAATCAGTCCAGCGGTTCTTAAGTTATAAGCGTCGTAACTAACACAACTTTCTTTTATATTTAGATTTTCTAAAAAAAATATAATACTTGATGGAAATTCCAACTCATGTGGACCTCAGATGAGAGAGAAAACAAAACGTTATATTTAAATTCATTATCCTTATTTTCCCTCAACATTTTTAAAATTTCAATTTTTTTTTCTATTTTGCATAATCGTAATCATTACTCAATAACAAGTGCTGTGTTTCAGAACCTGCAAGAATCTAATATTTTATCAGTTTATTTCGATATCATAAAGAGAAAATTCGTTGTTTTGTGTGTGTTGTCCAATGAAAAATGTTTGAAAAAATTGTGAACATATGATTGCATGACTTTACCTCCTTGATTCTACCATGGAAATTTCCTTGTAAATCAGCTTATGCTATATTCTCATTGCACTTTCAATCATGTTGTTCGCTCTCAGAATTAGGTACACGAATTAACATGTTTATACGGCACGATTCGCAATTCATAGTAAAATAATTCCTTTTTTCAAAAATTGTTGTTGAATTGTTGTTTTATGTTGATTTATTGAATTGAAATACATTTATAGAAATGTGTAGATATATTTAAGCTATGATTCATATCCATTTTTGTTAAGAATATAAAAAGATAAGTAATAAATAAAAACAGAATAACAACAAAATATGTATATATGATACGAAATACAACTTATTTGTTTGTCTTTCGTTCAGTGATTTCAATTACAATAATTAATTTTTACGTTTAATTAGATAGTCAGCTGGTTTGGAAGAAGGACCTCATATTTGGTCTATGTTCATAAATAAACAAATGCTCACATTCGTTACATGATCGACACATATTTCATCGTATTTCTGGGAGTGATTTGAATCGAACAAAGAACCAAAATTGTTGTTCGCTTAGAAAATGTTATGGGGGGAATTAAGTAGCTATAGAGAGCGAATTACGTACCATGTGAACTGAGTATTATCGAGCGTCATTCAGTAAAACTGGGCAAAAAGACAACAACTGGTTTCTCCCTAACAAACATCTAGAAACCGTTTCTACAAATTGATACAAGTTCTAAAAATCTGCATTACACCGACACTTAAATTACGAGTTTTACGAAGTAGGCCATGTACTTAACGTATAATCAAAGGACTTATTTTACCGAACATGTTTTAATAAAACGTGTAAAGCGATCAGAATTCTCCAACGGAATTGACAACAAAATAACGTGTTCTATACAAACATGGTCGTCCTAAATTAGGCTTAAAGCTATACATTTTAAGAAAAAAATGCAGTTTCGATTGAAATTAACAAAGATGAAGGCATGTTTATTTAGCGATTGTTTGAAAATGTAATCATTATATAATTTACTTACAACTATATTTAATACATACACGCGTTTAAACGACTTGTATTTATCAATATACAGCGCTAAATGGTAGGACACGAGTATCAACAAGTGCAATGTCGATTGATTATTTGGGTATATTGATTATCAAGATTGTTGAAATTTTGGTATGGGATAGATACTAAAAGTGACTAAGAGACGGAATCATGATCGTCTTCATGTGATAACGAAGATTAAAGAAATCATCTTCTAAATGGGAGTGAAAGTGTCTTCAGCAACACTTCTCAATTGTTATTTGTATTCGAGCAATCAGTCAAGGTCATTAGAACTAACGCCTGTGTACACTGGCTCCTTATCCATTTCGTTGCTTTTAGCTGAATCCTCAGTTTTTTCAGACGCTTCTTTGGACTTTTCGGAATCATCATCATTGGCATCGGCAGCATTGGGTACCCACAGGCCAGAATCTACACAGCGTTTCATGTGGTATTTTGCTTCCTCCACTGGCATTGCTGCAATAGTCTTTTGCAAAAGCTCTGTATCCCGACTTTCGAAACATGCTTTCAGTTCCTACAGGTGTAATAAAGACAAATTAGTCGATTAAATTTATGGTTTTGAAATACACCTAAGTCTGTTTTTACACGGTCTTTTTGTACACGGTTTTGATATAACACGGTTTGAAAATTGAATATTTTTAATTTTTTACACCATTTTATTCCATTTAGCACGATTTGAAGCTTTATGTACTTAATTTTTTTTGTCAAATTTAATTTTTGCGAAATATGTTCATATCACAAAAAAGTATTTATGAAAGAAAAAAGTCTGAAACCATCGATAGTATCGATAGTTTGCGAACACTACCTTAAAGATTTAAGTGAATTCCCCTTTAGCGCGTACAAATAATTTTTACTGGTCAAAGCAAATGTGAATAGCACTAATTTAGGGGAATTCCCTTTATGTGCATACAATAAAATTTACTGGTCAGAGCAATTGAAACGTGTTAATATTTTGTGAACTGTCAATGCAATAAGACGTGTTTGGTAAAGAAAAAAAATAAAAATTCTTGTTTTTTGCTAATTTTAATAGGTTTTAGAGATTAGGAACTAATCACCCATTTTTGCATAAGATCAATGTCTTTTTTACACGGCTCCTTCTGGAACCAATCTACCGTGTAAAAACAGACTTAGGTGTACTTCCATACATCTGGTAAAGTTTCGAAAACTTCAAGTGGGTCCAAGCCGCCAGGACCCAGTCTTGCTTTTCGTTCTTCCTCCTCAGCTTCAGCCATTGCTTCTTTGATTTTTTCTTGTGCCCTCTTACGAATCCGCTCTTTGAAAGCCTCGATTTCACTTTCAAACTGTTGGCGGTACTCGGGCATACAGTTCTGTATTTTTGAAAAGAATGAACCAATGCATGCTCTTGGATCCACATCCAACTGTTTTGCCAACTCCAACATGTACTGCATGCATATGCACTGGTGAGCCACATGTGCCATAAGTTCGTGTTTTTCTTCCATTTCCAGGTTAATAGACCATATAACTAGGTAGTTAGCAGTCTCCTCGCAAACCAAGTGTGGATGTTCCGACAAGAAACGCTTCGAGTCGTCATACTTTCGCATCATACCAAACTGTTTGCACAATTTCTCATTTTCTTTGACAAAATTCTTCATTTTGGCCTCGCGTTCTTCTTCTGATAGATTCTCGTCCTGTTTCCTTGACGGTTGTTTATTCAAGACTGTTTTCTCAAAACCAGGCTTACTTATGGTATCGACATTCCAGGGCATTTTTTTCTCTTTTTTGACAAGCTCCTCTTCCCTGCGATCTAGATCCTTGCCCTCTTTTTCAAGTTTTTCAAGTTTTTTCTTCAGCTCATCTTCAGATCCTTCCTTCTTCTTAATCCGTTCCTTGCAATCAACCATGCGGGCTTGCCATGACTGTTTAGCTTTTTTCAACTCATCCTTCTCCAATTCCAACTCGGCCATGCGTTCGACTCGGGCCTGGTGGCGCCAACGAAATAGTGATGGTGTATCGATGTTCGGATGAGTATCATCTTCATCGTCCGAAATCTACGAGTAAACATAAGAAAAAAAGTTTCATAGCCCATGGTATTCGTCACACTGCAGTTAACCACATACCTCAATATTCTTCCATTTACTATAATCCACCATCTTTAAGTTCTCCTCTTGATTGTCAAAAGCAGATTAACTACAAGTAAACGTAATATTTTTATCGTTCAAGAAGAAGTGAAAATTTGCGATGTGATTAAAATGCAGAATGCAAAATATCCGGCTTCTTTTGTTGATAGAATTTACTGGAATCAATTTGCGACAATACACACAACCAGAGTATGAAGCCTAATACTTATAGTTAGCGGCGTTGATAATTGCAAAATGTAGGTCGGCGGCAGCTGTTGCTCTCCAATAAGGAGTGTTGCCAGTATGAAAAGATTTTTTTGACAAAGCTTACGTTTACACAACCATATACAAAAACATATACAAATCTACTTATTTTTGAATTTATTTATTATTCTATTAATGTGAATAAATTCTTATTTTCCAAGTCATTTTCCATAATTAAGAGTGTTGTATGTTTCTTATATATATACAAATATATATGCAATATATATATAGTTTAGTTTTACATGTGTGTTGTCACAGACGTACGAGTCATTTATAAATATAAATTTTGACAACGAGATTAATAATTTTGAAAATATTTTAAACATGTGATAGCATGACTTTATCTTCTTGATTCTATCATGAGACGGACATAGGAATAATGGAAAGGACTGTGCAACATTTCAAAGGCCTATATTTAATATTACGACCTCTAGCGTCAAACGGATATAGTTTAATAACTATAGATATTTACTCTGATCAAGAAAATATAGCTGGTAGAACTCAAACATTATTTTGTGGTGATTCAATATGATGACAAGTGGTCGACTCTATAACCCTAATCATGAGGTGGACCATGGTCTTCAAAATTACAGCCCATTATATTGGAAAATGTTGCTAAAGCCCTTACATGGCAGAAAAATATAGGTAGACGCATAGACAATAAACTGTCAACCCAATGTTGGAATTGAAACTGTTGAAAGGATAATTATTTAAATTTGTAAAAATTGTGGAAAAACGCGTATTATAATAACTTCGAATGATGTCATGTAATAAAACAAATAAAAATCTACTTATATTTGAAAAGACATTTACATTTTTTTTGACATATCAATGTTCCCAAGCGTTGATGCATCTACCTACCAGCTAACATTTTTTCTAAATTCGGAAAAAAACTATACACATGTTTCCGATTCTGATGTCGAATGCGGAACGAACTCGGAAAGCATTTGTGTAAGATTGACCAATATTTTGAATGTTTTCTCGGAAAAAATCGGAAGGAACATAAGCAAGGCCTATATAAAGTCGGGCAGAAAGCGAATTGGTAAAAAATACAGCTCTGTCTGTTAATTTTAATGTCAATTTTTGGTTTTTTTTTTTGTTTTCTAGGCGAAAAAAACTTGTTCGCCCTGACATCTAATAATCACGGCAATTTTGTTAATTGCCAACAAAGAAAAACAAAACTAAAAGGTAAATATCATGTATCAAAATGTCGACTTTTGTGTGGGATGTATGATCATTATGCCTTTTTGAGATTATTATTAATTTATTCAAAAGTTTGAACATTTTTGGGGGAGGTACTTGAGACAGTAGACTGATATCAGTGCTAGACTGATATGGTTATTGGGATGCACAGAGTTCGAACAAAATTGGATGATCTGTTTTGGTAGTATTAGGTAAATTATTTTCTTTGAAATTGTTGACCTTTTTTGAGGTAGGTACCAGTAGGATTGGACCAATACTTCTCATCTAGGAACTCGATCTAAGTTTTCTAAGCCAAATCGAGAGTTATCATGTGCATCAAATGGATGGACGGACAGACACCTCTAGATTGATTCCAAATGTCCTGAAACGGATTTGGTCCAAATGGACCTAGGGTCTCAAACCGTTGTTTCGATGAGACACGTTTCGGCCGTATCAAATGTTATACCTATCAAACATACAGGGTGAGATAAAAAAAACTGCAACGAAGTCAAACGCCATAATTTTCTAAAATTTTATTGATGGAAAGCAAAAAATATCGGAAACAGCATCAAATTTTAGAATAAGTTTAGATTTGTTCGAATTGGTCACCTTTGGCACGAATTATGGCCTGCGTTATTTTAGCACATTCCCGGCGAAGCACTTGCTTGAGGCGATCGACACTTTGGTAGTTTTTAGTGCCAAATTTGCTTTCCTAAATACTCCAGACACAATATTCCGACGGATTGGTATCTGGAGATTTTGGTGGCCATTGTGCGCTGGAAATGAAGCGAGGAACTTCATTTTGAACCATTCATAAGTAGCGCGTGCTGAGTGCGATAGTGCTGAGTCCTGTTGGAATGTCCAAGGTCTGCGGCCAAAATGTTTGCGAGACCAAGGCTTTAATACACTCTACAGAATATTTTCGCGATAATATTCGGCATTTATTCTGATGCCACGGACGATTAATACGAGCGGAACCATCACCATGGCCGGTGCATGAGTTCTGGTGTCCAAAAGAAATTGCATATTTTCAGCTCACCTCTTTGGCATGTAAACACGATCAACGAATGTTTCCTCATCGGGGAAAACCAAATTCAGCAGTTCACCACTTTCGGCCAAGCGAAGCAACTCTTTAGCTCTTTTGACTCTATTTTCTTTCTGTTGCGGTGTAAGTTCTTGCACTCATTGGAATTTCAATGGCTTTACCCCGAGCTCATTTTTCAATATTTGCCGAATGGAATATTGCGATATGTTCAGCTCACGAACCGTTTTTCGGCCACTGCGACACGGGTTTCGATCAAGTCGCTTCTTTACTTTTCGTACTATTTCTGCTGATGTTGCTGTTTTCTTCCGTCCACTTCCTTGACGTCGGGGTACGCTACCAGTATTACGGCAACGAACGATGGTAAGAGACACAAAGGATTTATTTACATTTACATGCTGGAGTGCTCTAACGATAGCCACTTGTGGTTTTTCAGTCAATTATAAAAAAATCACAATATCACGCTTGAATTCCATCACGGACAACTTTTTTTCTGGAATATTCTAACCAAAATGCTTTTGTACGCTTGTAAACAATATAATGAGCTGACACTGGAATAATTCTTACAACTGTCGGACGAGTGGCTTAGAAGTGACAGTAGTCTGAAGTTGGTTGCAGTTTTTTCATCTCACCCTTTACAGGGAAACGTTTCCTATAAGTTTAGTACTGTTTCTTTTCCAATGTTTCGACATCCAGTCGAGTACATTTCAGTTTTTTTTTGTTCCCACTCATCTACACCAACAGTACAATCATGACATAATTACAGAAGGTAGAACAAATCTATCCCCTAAATACAATTTTTTATTTTGGTGCCCTTATTCTGTTCGCAAATAAACAGTACATAAACATAGTGTACTGTACCGGAACACAACGATGGTCGTAGTGTACCGCAGTCGGAGCGCTAAAAAATTGTAGGTACCGCAGACGGAACACTAAAAAATCGTAGTGTTCCGTAGTCAGAACACTACAGAAACGTAGTGTTCCGCAATCGGAGCATTAAAAAATCGTAGTGTACCACATGCACCACATTAAAAAACTGATTTTAAACACTCAGCCATACTTTGTAAGATGTTTAGTTTTTACACCTACATTCATTGATTTTTCGATACCACAAAATAACAGTTATATTATTTGCATAATAACCCATTACAATGCAACCACTGAAATACGCTTTTTCGCGGAAAATTAAAAATTTCAATTTTCTATAGTTAAATACAAATTATTATCACTTCAGATTTGGTACTTTTTTATTCTTTCTACCTTTTCTCATATTTTTCTATTATCTTCAATTTCGCAACCAATCTAAACATACACGACAAATATAAAAGTCATTTTTCTTTTTTATATTATTGAATTGTATTAGTAATTTTTTACAATATCAAGGACATAAAACATCTATTTTTTCTCACAAATCGTAAAAGAGACACATGTGGTACACTACCTGTACATTATTTTTTTAATGTTCCGCCATGTGGTACACTACGACTGTTTGCGTTGCAAAATGAAAGTAAAAGAAAATAAAACACAATATTTAGAATTTTATTTCAATGCAGTCGTGGACTGTATATTTTATTGAATAATTGTTCGTGGAACAATTAAATTACCTTTTTTACAGGATGTAGGGGATTGATGCTTTCTGGTCGTGAACCAAGGAGCGAGAGATCTTAGCGAATTAAAAAAGCTAAGATGTCGCAAAGCGGGGTTTAAAGCTACTCGTTACATTTTGTTACTACATTTGTCTTTGTCTACGAAATAAACAAAGACGTATAAATGAGTAGTGGACAAAATGTAACGAAGGGATAAAAAAGGACCCGTGAGGAAATTTTAAATTGAATAAATCACAATTACTTTGAAAATATACATTGCCGCCCGCGTTGCAACATCCTGCTGTTGCAAAATTATGAAAAAAAGATATATATGTGTACATTTTTTTCTCTTATTTTATTTACATTTTTTTTTTTTTTTTTTTTTACTTTTTTCAAAAAACAAAATTATTACAAAGTTTTTGCTCGTAGAGCAAGGATCGTTAAATGGCTCGTAGAGACCAGATCCGTTAACTTTTTTTCAACAAGTGACTCGTAGAGTCTTGTGACGAGGGCTCGTAGAGCCAGAGGCAATTGAAGATTGCCCCTCACATGGTTTTAGATATTACATGGGCCCGATATTACCCAGCCAAAAATGGTGAGCTGGGCCCATGGGAAACCAGGGCTAGAATAGGTTTGAGGCTTCATTACCTTATGGTAGACTTCTGGGCCTAAAATCAAACTGACTGCAGCTGTTTCGTAGAACCGAGGATCGGCAAGTTGCAGGCCAGCATAATGATCTTTTAGACCCTCGGACACAGACTCCAAAGGAGAAATTAGGTGCGCCAGGTTTATCACTCGCGCCGACAAAGAAATGCGTTGCGTACCATCGTAAGAAGATGCAACGGACAACTGACAGAATCTTTCTGGACCCACAATCACAGGACATAGTCCGAGGCTGTCGGCCAAAGACCGACAAATCAAACTGTGGCCTGCACATGGGTCCAGAAGTGCTCTGACTGGTATCCGGTGGTTGGCCAAAATGACCTGTACCACCAGCGTAGGTCCAAGCGTGGCTACAGACTGGATGGCGGATACAGGCCGGGGTTGAGCCAAATGTGCCGCATTATGTTGGGGAGCGATACTGGGACCATAGATTGGAGGTTGGGAAGTATTAGCGGACGGACGTTTCGAAGATCTACGCTTGCGTAG